ACGTTATCCATATTCTGACACTTATGGTTTTCAGCTGACTTAATGTTTACGAAGAATTTAGTGACAATGAGAAGCAAACATGGTGGCCAACTGGTTCTAAATACCGATTAAAATTTCTTAGCTGCGTAACATGGACCATAAAATCAGTTAGGTAATTCTGATACATAGTAATTTTACGATGAGATCTCGAAATCAACGTGAGATTATAACACTGAAATTTTCAAGTTTTGGTTTTTGGAGGGATTTTGTTTAAATTACTGGAGGATTTCATCGTGAGGTGACACCGCTTAGGCCCTAGGTTCGAACTCCGGTGGATGCGTACTGATGAATAGTCTCTAACTAGGACGTAACAGCTGTCCAGTACTCTCAGGCTTCCCAATGGTTCTCTAACTGATGTCAGCTCATGATGAAATCTTCCAAAACTGAAATTATCAAAAAAAGCGAGAAATCTTCACCGTTTCCTGGGGACTATGATTGTCGACAGGCACACAGTTCAGGTCAGTGACATTAGGTCTCTGTCCCCTAACCACAGAAATATACTGGAGAGTCTGCATGGCTATATCACGCGTTATCTATACGAACAGTTACTCACTTACTTGAAACTCCACAAACTTAACTGCACGTTAATCACATTTGGTATTCATTTTCAGTTTAAAAAGTAACTGTATTCACTCTCATCTCATAAATCGATTCAAATCACTTACATCACCCTCTTACCTTATCCACCAACAAAATCTCACCACTGTCTCATACAAACAGACATACACACATGCACACGTCGACTGTTCATTAGCCTGTTCAGTGAACACCTCAGTTCAACATATGAATTAGGCGTGGTTAATTTCCAACATTTTATTTTGCATTTCCTGCCTTTCTCATTCGTCAAATGAAACCACTCAATACAAAAATTTATCAGTTACTAAATCAACAACGAAAAATATTCCCAGTTGTCTGTCTGAGAAAAAGTTCAATGATCGATAAATAATTAGAATGTTGAAACATCTCCTTGTTGTAACTGACTATTGACTTCATTTACATGATCTCTTGTTTGGTGAGTAGATACAACCGTATTTGTCTAGGATTTTGAATGTATCGTTTTTTAACTGTTTTGTAGATTTTCAGAAATTCCATTGTTTTGTAAGTAATCTTGATAGCGCCCAACTTTATCTGTGACAATGGATTACCATCATTCAACTAATTAGCTTTATGTCTACAAAACACTTATTGCTCACTTCTTTTCAGGGTTTCTAAGGTTAGCCAGAAAGCGAAAGCGAAAGTAATGAAGTTAATCTCATATGTACTACTTTTTGGTTTGCACAGTGATGTAGGTCTCCTTTTTTGTAATAAAAATACAGACTTTATTGGATTTTGCTAACATAGTCAACTGGTCTCCGTCAAATGAGAAGGAAATAACTGCTATTCTTTTAAAGTAATTTTGCATAAGGTAAGGAGGTGCAACTCAATCAGTTGAAAAGTCTAAGAAACATACCGTCAACGTATTTTTCCCATAACAAGCATATCTGTAAAGGTCACCAAGATAATAAACATTCTAATAACTATTTCAATATAGACATTTAGCAAACAGAAAGATTGAGCAAAGAATTATTTACTTTTCAATTAGATCCTCATCTCTGGCTCTACTCTAATATATGTAGCATTTTTATTGCAATACACAACGGTTTGCCAATCAAGTGGCGATATGTTTGTTAACAATAATTAGTCAGTGTCAACATGTCAATGGGTTGTCAATTAACGAAGAAAATCAATACACACAATTAAAAGGTAGAACTGGTTAGAATAAAATAATTTTAAAAGGATGACACGTAATTAAAGATGAAGTGGTCAAAATAAATAAAAAATAAAATAATTTGGACAGTTATAATTTTTGTAATTTTAAAGGTTTAGGGGGAGGGGGGCGAAGTAGTCCAGTTTATACATTTATGTAACGATGGCCAAGGTAAGGAAAGTGGCTGTACAAATTTCTTCTGAACACACAGGTTTGGCTACTTCGGGTAGATTCCTATTGCTTCAGCTGTCTGTAGAAGACGAACTCGTAGAGCAAAATTAAGATTAGTAGGAATGCGATAAATAATTTTAAATGCAGTATTAACGTCCACCTTATGCTCACTATCCACAAGGTGTGTTAAAATAGAGCTACCAATAGATCTTGTTTGTCCCTTGCTTAACCATGTTGGATGATGTTCGGAAATACGATGATGAACCTGCCTAATTGTAAACCCAATATGGCTGGCTCCTCAGCTGCAGTCAAACTGGTATATACACAGAGAAGAGGCAAATTTAGTTAGTTTATCCTTATTTCTCGAACACAGAATAGGGCTGGCAATCTTCTGATTGTGATCTTGAATGAAGATTAAATAGTGGATATGCCACAAAATACAGAATATTGTTGAATATTTGGTGTCATCTGAATAATGAAATGAATATCAACATATTTCATAGGTTCTTACTTGAGTGGAAAAAATCAGGTCTTTGTAGAGAAAGAAATCACACACCAATGTTCTGGCAAGAGAAATTAATTCATTTATCTTTCAAGAATCATTCATATGACTATGCGACAACATAATACATCATATTTGAATATTCTTTCATAGTTTTCTTTATTATTTGTAAATAACATAATACAAACATTTATGAATAAATTATGGTTCAGATATGATAGAGAAGATTTGTAGCTCAGGTGGATGATTTTGATGTGGTTTTGTTCTCTGAGCTGGATGGTTAGTTTGCGAAGCTTTCATCACCTTACTGGGTGACATCTTCAGCGCATAATTCAATTGAAGTATGCGCTGAAGATGTCACCCAGTAAGGTGATGAAAGCTTCGCAAACTAACCATCCAGCTCAGAGAACAAAACCACATCAAAATTATGGTTCATTCAATATTCACATTGTGAACTTAATCAGTAGGGTCCATTCATTATCCAGAATAAATGTACTTCACTAATTACTGTTTAAAGAATCATTCGTGTTCAATATACAATTTATTTATAATTTTATCGCTTTTCTTAACTTACAAGAAGATTTCAGAGATAGGGAAGTAGGTATCCCAATGAAAGGAATTCTAATAACTACTTACTATAGTTCACAGTTCTCGTGCGAGTTGCATTAAGTTAAGATAATATACTATGGAACATCTTAGTCATAGTTGCTGTTATGCAAGTTGATTGTACTTTTGTAAAATCAAATCCAGTAGTGGTAAACCTAATTTCTATATAAAGAGTAATATAAATATATGTATATATCAGAAGAACGGTAGAAAGGTATCAGTAACTCTGCGAAATGCAATTTTTAAACAATGGCCTGAAAATTTTGAGTGCATAAAGTAAACAAAAAACATATTTTAAAATTATGAAATGAAAGTTCATTTCAATGGATACATGTTTTCACAGCGAACACATTACACGCATGCTGTCTCAATGTTCTGTACACCGAAACTGAGGGTGGAATTATAACTACCTTAATTTCACTACTTTTGCCTAATAAACATTAGGAAAGCATTGATTAGCACTTTATTCCATCAAGTGAAGATGACACGTTGTAGTTATTGGACTGAAATATCATCATAATTTTTCACTACGTTATAACTATTCTAGACCATTCTAATCATTGATCAACTATTTTAATTTTTGCCAATGAATTAAGTTATTCTAGGTTTTAAGCAGTCAATATATGTGTTGACAAAATAAAATGGATCAATGCTATGGAGCTCAAATTGTTATTTATATGCATTTAAAAAAATTATTTTATTGTTACCAGTTATGTTCGGGTCAAAGGTCAAATTACTCTTAGTCTGTCGTTTGATGTAAATGAATACGACTTTCAATGAATTATTCTTTTGGAATATGTATATAAAATCCATAGTGCTTTGTGGTTTCATCTTCTAAACTATTTTATTTGATTAGAATAAGTGGTGTGTGGATTTATAATTAAATGTCCATCTATAGAAGTTAGTAGAATTTAAATTTAACTGCACACGAATCAGTTCCATGCAGTAGTTAGCGTAAAAGAGACATGCGAGATTTCACCTGTTTTTATTACCCAGTAATGTATTTACGGAAGGATAGTGTACATGTATGGGTCAGGTAATGGGAAAACTATCACCACACGATAGCTGGACACAAGACTCTCCAGTATCTTTAGCAGGTAATAAATGACTAGCACATATTCAACAATGTTTTCTAATTTATATTTACACATAGGAAGGAGTACTTACACTTCTTAGGTGGGGATGGGAGAATATGTATATTCAAGTCACGTAGATACGACTCATAAGGTTGCTACCGAAACAGTAGTCACAGGACCGTTACTAAAATTTACTAAGGTAATGGCTACTTGATCAGTTAAGTTACCTTCGTTACACTGATCCACTATGGTAATATTTACGTGATTACATATTAGCAATCCAAATATTAAATAATGCCTGTTTCGCGAACAAAGCACATGTGTAAGTTATGTCTTTTGAGACTTGAAGTTTTATGCATTTTGATGTATTTGACTTCTTGAAAAATATATAAATTTCCATGCTGTTACACACTATCTATGTATTTACAGTATAAAAACGAAACACCAATAATCTTACTCAGTTGATCGATCAAACTGGTAAAAAATTATATTATTAATGCTATGATAAATACAATTTTCCTTTAATAAGAGTATAAAACTAGAAAATCATGTGTTCACAAAGAGGAATACTGAACTAGATATGATTAAACGGAGGTAAACACTAACTAACCCCCATTTTATAGGAAAAGAAATGCAAAAATTAGAAATGATAGTCTACTCATTTTTTTTTTCATTGAAGGCAAACCTGGAAAAGACAGAGTAGATGTAAGCAACACATAGTTCAAAATTAGTACATAGTGATACAAATAGGAAACCTGAGTGTAAGAATAATACCAAGAGATAGAAATTCATATAAATAACAAGTATGTATAATGCAATAGTTTAGCTAGTTTTGTTTCATTGAAATGAAATAAATATCTTAAAATAATTTTCCAACATTAATGAAATAATCGCATTCAAAATAGATAATGAATAGAAGTAGAGTAGACGCTGTCATGATGAAAATATTTCGCCTAAATCTTAACTTGAATAAAAGAACAACGCTATATGAAATAAATTGTAGTCCTAAGAGTGTTGTAGTCAATAAGGCATAGAAAAATAATGTGTAATACCGGTTATATAATGGCAATACAGAGTATGTAACAGATTTATTCCTGTATATTTGTAGTAAACCAATACCATTTAAATGAGGGAAACCTGAACGATATGTACATGATGGTACACCAATGGAAATCAGTTCACCATATGCCTTTAAAGTTTCGACAAACGTTGGCTCACTGCTGAACTTCACATAATGTACACTGTCAGTTAATTTGAAGTGTAATGGTTCTCTAGGTGTTCTAATGAAGTTAGCAGCTTGTAGCCATGAAATGCTTGCTTCTGAATTTTCTGATCCTTTAGAGTTCTTCCAGTGAATGACTTGACTCTAATTGTTGAAAGAAAACATTTAATTTTTAAGTATGGTATCATAAGGCAAAAAAAATGTTTTACAACATAGATAGTGGCGATTATTAGTTATTTTATGCTACTGACATTTATAAACAGTGATCTCCCCGTAGATTAAAGTCAACTTGAGGCGAAATTTCATTCTTTGTTACTTTAGAGAAAGGCAGGTCAACGGTGCATTCGAACTGGTTCAGTTCAGGCAGCCTGATTTTTGTCGAGCTTGTTGTATTTGAGTTAGCGGATTGAGTGGAAAAATTATGTAAAGAACTGAATCAACCGTCTTGCAACATGTATAGTTCTCATTCCCTAAGTTTAGGTAGATGGACTACAGGTAACTGATAAAATACAAGATATTATTATACGAAGTCCATCATCAATATGATATAATATTTATGGCTAGTACACACTGAAATAATAATGATACACAGTTCAACTATACAGTAAATATTACAACTCACTCTATGAAGATGCCCGTGAATACACAGAGAAGCATTGGACTGAAGCAGCTTAATAGGAAACCAAGTATGATATTGAGTGGCTACTGGAAAATGACTTATGAACACATTGATTTCATCGGGGGATTTTTCACTTTGGATATCAACGTTCGTTCCAGAAGACATATTATCCTTAAACAAGTATATTAAAAACAAATTTATGCTCACTGAATAAAAGTTGACGAATTTACACTTATGTTGCGTAGATTTGGCAGGAAAGCTACCGTAGAAACGACTCAATCTTGCATCTGTCACAGAAACACCTTCGCCACCGACATCATTGTCTCCAGGTACTAGAAAAGTCTGTGAAGTAATTTATTCAAAACAAATTCACATACAAATAAATCCTTCTCGGGAAGAAATATCTCACGGAAGCGTGACATGGAGGGTAAGAAATCTGAATCAGCTGAAGTATCCCCTGCATCAAGAAGATCTCCAAGAAAAATAACACCATCCGGATTAGTAAACTGCACAGCTTTTAAGAAATAGAAACGAAGATAACTGGAATATCTCAGATAACTATTAACCTACTCGTCACTGTCAGTTTGTAATATCTCATTTATAAGGTATAATTTTGAGTGGTATCCTTCAACATGAGAGTCAGCCACGAGCAGTAGTCTCACTTCATCTTCACTTGGCCTGAAACATTTCAAAAGATGTAATTCGGTCTAACTTGATTTCAGGTATTTTCCATTCTTTTAGTGAAATATATGGCTGTAGAATTTCGCCGTAAATTAGAAAAACAACTAAGAGGAAGAACTGAGGCAACGTATACCTCATGCAGTGTAAACGTCTAACCACCATGCCATAATAATAAAAATACATGCAGTTCGTCTATTAAGCCACCTAGGAAACGAAAACGAGAATCGTGGAATGATGATTGGTCAGTGCAAAGACGGAGTTTGGTTGGATATTCATAATTGGCCAATAGAATCACAAAACGGTGTAACTAATGCTACGTCTATAAAACTTTTTACGAAAATGAATAGCTTAAATAAGCAAGTTTATGATTTGTCCGCAAAAGACTAAAATCTCCATTGAATTTCACTAGTGATCCATATTTTCTATTCATACACAACTGGGAGCTTATTTCAATATAACACATAGTTTTAAGGAAATTAGATAATTCAGATCAACTCAAAAAAAATGTCATTTACCGCAGGAGTAATATAACTTTTATTTTCTGCTACTCCAAAATAGACGTACATTTCATGTATATTCACCCTCCATATAAAATAGAAGAGAGTACCATCACTATCATCATCATATTCAGGACAACAGCAATGTAATACAGCTACAGCAACTAGATTAGGAGCTAAACCCATTGAATAGATCGGGAAAATCTGTAGTCACATAAAAATAAGTAAATATTTACTAAAGGGACATGAAAGTTGACAGACTGTCAATAACTAACTTCGGCCTAAAATACTTGGAACACTTTAAAGTGATATGAATTTCATGTAAGACACCTTAGTACTTTAAGCTATTGTCTCAGGAACATTTCTTTTATTTACGGCAGATTGGCAGCTAGTGGGTCCTTGGTTCGAATACCATTATACCTACTGCGAATCAGGCAACTGGTTAGTGTCATCAGCCCTTCCATAATAAGTATAGCTCATATAGCCTAGTATATGGAAAATCTGTCTTGGGTAAGTAAATTCGAATTAATAAACAACTGAATATATAACAAAGTAATAGTTAATGCCTGAAGCAAAAGCTGGTAACAGTGATTGCAGTATAGTATAGAATAACTGTGTCATTCGTCCTTTACCCGTAACTCAGAATCTGTAACAAGATGTTGTCATACCATACTTAATTTTGCCGTTTGATCCTTTTTAGTTTCCAGTCTGTTCTGTTAATTATTTATACATCAGTCTAATAATATTCTCACTTCTTGTTATTAGTTTATCCATTTAACCGTTACTTATGGTTTCAGTATACTACCTTTACTCTTCCGACAAAATACTTCCCAACAAGATCTATGTATTTCTGAAATACGTAGCCTGTTCTCGACTGATTAATAGACTTTACTGGTCAAACGTCTGTGGCTCTCATTGATGAATATATGTTGTTTCGCTGACTCTAAATTTAAGTTATTCACTTAGCCATGGCTTAACAATTCGTTGATTTGTTTACATCTCTTGTTCATTATCGTCTAATAATACAGCATAGAAACTTTGAGAACTAGGTTTTTGTTAATTATTTGCATTTTTGTGAGGAGGTAGTAAGTATCTGTCACACTAACATTTTCATATCTATCAATTTCTCTTTTGGTGAATCTGCTGGTTAAACTTTCTTCTAAATTTAGAATTCACACATTAATTAAGTCAAATAGGGAACACCACCAATGAGCTAAGTCCTGAAAGAGAAAAACCACCGTCCAGTGTATGCACAGCTTCACTCTGGTGAGCAAGCACTAATAGACTACTTTTATTCTAACACACCCATTTAAAACATGCAGATTCCAGTTATGTTTGTTTTGACTGCGGCAGTTCTTGTTGAAGTATTGGAATGAGCTTCTCGTGTCCGCTTATGTTTTAAAAGTTTTTGTATTGATAACGTATTCAGTTATTACAAAATAAGATATGAAATGCTAAGAGTAGTAGATCTGGAAAAGAATTATAGTCTCTGTATTTTCGGTGTTGTTTTATTCACTAAGCTGGTTGGTTCAATTGTTAGACTTACTTTGTCTTTCTAGACAACACCTTCAGTACTAACTTCGATTTAAACACTTCTTCCCTAAGATGGTGTAGGTATGCTTTGAGTAAGATACTGGACTAATTTCATGAGTAAGTCTTAAAACTCTAAGCTAATACAGAATGAGAAGTGTATAATCATGCTAAGTGTTGCCAATTTTAGTCTAGGAAATGACAGGCGAAGTTAATTCCTTCTACTTTATCTTAGAAATGATATATTTTAGACTTTATTAAAAAGACATATGATGTGCTTGTCAGCCTATATCGACAACCATTCGGCTGTGGAAAAATATAGGTGACAGTAATGTCAGTTAATGTTAAATTTTATCAGTTAAATAATGCTCAACCTATGAGGTATCTGAATAATTAGTTTAAGAATGTTTAGATATACTTCCCAAGGAGTAGAAATATACGAATTTTCACCATTTAAATTTGTATCCCCAAATTATCAATTGTGTTTTAAAGTAGGACCTGAATAATAACTGACACGACGATACAGATTCTTTCTGCGTGTTAATATTGACGATAATGACTGCAATGACAACAATAGCAACAACAGCGGGATTTTCGAAAAGAGTGCGCAATACGTATTTTCACTGATTTCTCAACTGGCATATATGTCATATGTGACAGATAAAAATGTAGGACCTAAAATTCTATTAGTAGTTAATTTTAAACTCAACTGAAAAACATCAATAGTAAATACTGTAGATTTTAGCAATACGAAATTCTAAGACCACCTTTTAAACCTAGAAACACACTTCGTTCCAATGTTTCAGTTCAATTCATTTATTTATTTAAAAGTTATTAATGGTCTATCCGTTATCTAGGTAGACATTTAGTCTCAATAATAAGCCGCTTACACACTGAACTATGCTTCTTATTCAGTTTTCTATCAAAGTGACTTCGATTTATTACAACAGTTGTCATATGTGCACACACAACACTATGTTGTTATTACAAACGGCAGAAACATTAGAGCTAGTTTTGAAAAGTGACCTTAAAAAGCTAGTAAAAATGAGTGCGACTTATTTGTAAGACAACTCTACAGCCCTTAATGTTGAGGTACGTAGAATGGTAAATTCTTATTAGCGGAAATAAAAGTAAACTGTGTGATTAAAAGCGTAAACTGCTAGAATGATAAAGTTATAATGAATTTCTCATGTATTGTTGTAGGAAGAGATAATAATGACCAGTAACTTGTGTGAATTATCTCCGAGATTCGTTTTATGTGAATAAAATTGACTGTAACTAATTAATGGTTGTGTCAGTATATAATATCTTTTATTGATTTCATCCTGGATAGTCGGACAGTCTGTTAAATTCAAATTACCGAATGTTATCACTTTAATTATAACGTTAGGTTATCTAAAGATATTATTTTATCCCTCCGCGATCCCAGTAGATCATAAAACCTCAAGCTTTGAAGATACAGTACCGATGTTGTTCTTTTACGGAGTGGGGTTGTTAACCTCACACTCAACCCTCCTTCTTTACCGGTTTTACTGCTGGCCAAGTGTGTTTTAGAAGTGTATCGAGCGGGAATCGAACCACAGACTACGTGCGTGGTTGGCAAGTGTTCAACCACTGACCCACCAACCTACCATCCTAGGATATTGGTTTATAATAAAGACGAAGTAAGTTGTTTGAAACTTAGTGCACGCTAATGTTGTAACAGCAGTAGGCAAGACACGGAAATCAAGGTATCTTTTCAAGTGATAAACCGCTATATATATATATATATATATATATATATGCACCTTCCATAAGAAGTGTATTCAGACGTATTATAGACTTAGTTTCTTTATTCTATTTGATTATATTTCACTGCAGGGGATATACTTTACTCAAGATTAAGAATTTATAAAGGCTGCTCAATGTCAACACATGGCAAGAAATTAGTGACCACTGTCCTACATTATTGATATTAAGGGAACAGACTGGACTTTATCCACTTACTCGGATATTTAGATTCTTTTCAGAATAACTATTACAGTACTTAAACCATTTCTTTGATAACAGGTCGATCAGCTATAATTAATGAAACAGCAGGAATGATATTGCTAAACTAAAATGAAGTTGTTGCAGTTAGTTGCAATCTGAATGAAACATGCACCAACATTTTTCCAACAGATGGTGGATACTGTAGTAGGGGATCTTATTGATGTCGTAGTATATATGCAGGATATTATCCGGCCTGATTCTACTCCCAAAGATATATTACGTCGTCTGGATCTGTTGGATATTTTTCATTTTGGTTTCCAATTCGATGAAGATTCCCCTTGAATGTATTAAGGATAGTTAGAGGTATATCTCTGATAAAAAGTAGTCATTGTGCGGATCTAGACAACATAATAATTTCCCAGACCAACGAAGGTCATTACAATATTATGATTTCTTATTGCGATTAGTAATTGCAGTATCTTTATTTTAATATAAGCTCCACAGGACATTGAAAGCGACTGAAAGGATTGAAGGATAATGAAAACTTGATCATGACACTGCCAGACAAAGGTTCTGGAACTGTCTTTCTGAACAAATCAGACTAAGTAAACACTTGCTGATACTGTCTGATGATAAGAAATTTCAAAAATAGTCTCCCCAGAATGATCCTAATGAACAGACGGAGCTCCAGATGCAAAAGACATTTGGGAAAATGAAAGACGAATCTATTATCACGAAACTATGCGAACAGCTTCGTCCATCTCGTTCTACAACGTCGCGCATGTACAGCTTACCTAAGGTACACAAACAAGACATCCCCCTCCACCCAGCACTAGATAACATAGGTTTCCCATATCACTTAATCGCACAGTAGCTAGTGGAGATCCTCGGGCCGGTGAAAGGAAAGCTTCCGAAACACAATCTCGGTGACACATTCAATTTTGTTGATTCAACTAAGAATGTCAACTTGGAAGATAAGAAAATGGCCTCCCTGGTTGTAGTCTCTTTCTTCACGGACGTCCTACTGACAGAAACCATACGCTTCCTTTGTGACTTCATCCAATCCAATAGGATCGATATCGGTACACAAATCCATTATCTAAAAGAGCTGTTACTATGATGCACCTTCAAGAAGGAAATATACGGGAAAATAGACGGAGTAGCGATGGGTTCTCCTCCAGGACCCCACTTGATCGAATGCTTTATGGCTAGTCTAGAAAATAATTTCTTATCATCAACTATCGAGAAGCCTCATGTCTACAAGGGACGCATTGATGATACTTTCATTATTTGTAGTGAGAATCTGGATCTAAAAAATCTACTCCAAACCGTCAGCAACGCCTACCAAAACATTGACTGCATCCTGGAATTTGAATCTGACTCGATGTTTCATTTTATCATCGTCCATCTGTAAAGGAATGCTGAAAACTCACTGAAAAGATCCATCTACAAAAAGCCTACATAGAACGGACAGTTTATAAACTTTGAAAGTTGTGTTCCTCTAAGCAGAAAGAGAAAAATAATATGTACTCTCTTTCCTCAAGGATCCCGAAAATATACACTGAGGAGTCAACTAACGAAGAATTTCAAAATCTCCAAAAGACCTTGACGGAAAAGGGTTTCCCTTCACTCAGAATCATAGACAAGAGTCTAAAACCTAAGAAAACTCTTGAAAAGGTCCAGTTAGCTCCCCAAAAGATAAAGTTTTAGCACTCATTTTTGTAATCAAAAAGTCTCACAAAATGATTCACTGTTACCATTTTCCCATGGCTACAGATAATAAGCCTTTTCTTTCTACGTTTGGTTTGAAGAAAGGCGTTTTAGTGTACACTGCTAACATTTTACAACGGTGTGGAAAAACGTAATTAGCCTTGAATTTTAAAATCGAAGAAAAGTCAACTACAACAATCAGACTCGCAGATATACTTTATTAATTAATAACATCATAGAAATTCTAATTATTACAGTTATCTTCCGCTTCGTCAACCTTCTTTCCTCCATCACCTTTCCGGTGGCCGTAGTGAACCATTTTTTGTTTTGCCTCTTCTTCTCGCTGAAGATGCCAATACAAGTTCCTTTCCGCGCAGCCTGTTAGAAAGTCCCAGTATTACTTCGCACAGGTTCCTCGGTGAGGATGCTTACTGTCTTCCTCATTCCAAAGAGAATAGGTTCATTTTCTCCTTGTTTTGAAGCTGCAGTAACGAATAGTTGGGTTGCCACTCCAATGGACAACATTCGTCCTTTTCTAGACTTAGGACAGGCTAGCAAACTAGGCCAGGCATAAAAACAAGGAGTATTAGACAGCTATTTCGTCTTAGTCCGGGACTCATCAGTTGTACCTACTCAAGACACTATCGGAGATCGCGCGTTGGAACTTCAGGTTACACGGTGAGCCTACTGACTATTTAGCCATTATAAAATTACTCTAGTTCAATAAAAATTGCTATTGGTTTGTTAAATACAGAAATGGAAGACGATTAAAACAGAAAAAGGAGCGATTCTGAAGAGGTTTACTAATGTTCATCTAGTGTTAGTTATCAATTTTTCCAGCAGTAAAGTAATATGAGTACTGACAATCATTTAATGCTATCATAAAAATGCTTGCATAATCTAAATCGTCCACTTTAAAATATTCCTCACATTGGTATCATTTCATAGTTGCTGTAAGTAGACTGATTTTTAAACGACATTTCAGTCCAGATGATGACATGATGTGATGACATCTTATTATCTAAAGATCACTGCATTTTCCTGAGTCTAAATAACACTTATTCCCTAGTTTCTGTTCAACGTGCGGGTGTATGTAAAATGCTTTAACAGTACAAAACTGTAAGGTGTATAAGATAAAGTCATTCAAAGTTAGGATAATGAGTAAAATATAGTCCTTAACTCAAACTGGCACCATAAGATATAATTCTAGGCTCTTTAAACAGATGAGAATAAATCTTTCAAGAAAGCTAGAATAACGAAAATGAACAGTTGTTTCTACAAGTTCTTGTTTAGGCTAGACAGCTGTATATCCATCAATTTTAGTATATGGTAGTCAGTAGAGACAAATTAGAATTATATTAGAGAGTTTATTCTGGAACAAGTAAAAGATGAAATAATAGTCATTTATTATTATTCCCTTGGATTCTGATTGGAATATAAGGCTTCAGCAACACATCTTCACTTTGTTCTATTTTCTGCTGTCCTCTTCAGCTGCATCCAAGATTGCCCATAATCATTCACCTCCTCCTGTCACAACCTGCTCCATATCACCCTCGCACCGACGACTCATTGCATCTTTTATTCTCTCCAGGATGACTCAACTTAATATTCTACTTGGCGTGGACAAGAGCATTACTCCACGCCACTTCTTGCAAAGGCCTAACTAGTTCACTCTTCTTGGCAGTTTGACAAGCTAGTCAGCCTTTCTTAAGATCCGTAGGGACCGTTCTTTCCTTCCAAACACTGGCGTGACCACATCTGCGCAGTCTCTTCATCCGTTTTCAGTGCTTCAGATTGAAGGGGAGTTCCATCTGACCCTGTCACCTTCCTGGACTTCAGTAGCTTGATCGCACTCAAGATTTCTGCTCTGGTTGGAGAATTGGTGTCCACCGATAGATAATTCTTTGCGTGCTGTTGATGGTGGTGATATTACTGGGAGAGTTGTACGTGATAGCCGATTTAAGAGTCCTTTGAAATGACCAGTCCATTGTTTTGTTTGTTTCTCCTCCTTGGTAATCAGGTTCCTTTGAACATCTTTTGTTGGTTTCACCATCTGGTTTGATCTCTTTCCGGATAGAGACCTGGTTATCTGACATAATGTTCTGTGATCTCCTTTGCCTGCAAGCTACTTCTTTCCAGTTTCCAGACAGTTACAGAAACGTCTTATATCTTTCATAGCACTCTTCTTCACTTATATATTCGGTGAAGTGTACATCGAACTTAGCTTCTCCTTCTGTCGTCCATCTTCGCATTGAATCATTATCTCTTTCACCACCCTACTCTCTTCCCTTAGCTCCTAGGTGGCCATATGGTCATTCCCAGTCTTTCCTCTTACTCGTCCCTAAAATTACGTACACTCTTCCTTGAACACCACCTTCAGAGAGTCTCCGTGTTCTTCCTCATATGTTTCCCCAGTGATACCACGTAGTACCTCCAACTTTTCTATGGTGTCTGCAGTGAAAACGTTCTTTGCAGTTTTATCCTTCAGTTTCTGGATGTTATCCATGAATCGTTGTCTGCTTCTGGCTGCTTTGAAGGCAGTCAACTTGACCTTGGAGGTAGCTTGAGTTAGATAGTGGTCTGAACCAACATCTACTCCCATTCTCGATTTTGTGTTCAGGAGGCTGCATCTCCACTTCCTTGAGCATCATTGAGATCAAGTCTGTCTGGTTTGGGGTGTGTCCATCAAAGAAATCCGTGTTGCTTTGTGTATATCCTTCTGTTTGTACACACTATCTCCAGTAACCAATTCACTGAAGGCACAGAAGTCTGCAGAGAGTTCTCCGTTCTCGTCCATTTCGCCCAGAGCCTCTCGACCCAGGATGAGTTCTCTTCCTGTATTATCTGCTCACAGTTAGGCTTGCATCCATACCGCCCATAAGGATTCTGATGTCACCATTCGGGATGTTGTCCATTACTGTTTGTAGTTGTCTGTAAAAATCCTCCTTTTTACTTGTTCCGCGTTGTTTGTAGCACTGTGCGTGGCGTTGGATAACTGTCACCTTCGTTCCTTTTGAGTTAAATCTTGCTGTCATTATGCTGGATGAAATTGGTTCCCAATGCATTAGGTCTTTGGCTGCCACTGGTGACGTGATCACAGCCACTCAATGCATCAGTGTGCTCGTCGTTGTCATCTGGGTGACCGGAGTAGATTAATGGCTCACCAGTTGGTAATTTCGATGGCCCACATCCATTCCATCTGCTCTTGCAGATTCCGAGCACTTCTATACCCTATCTTCTCATTTCTTCGGCTGCCTGGCAGCCTTTCCAGTAGGCTTCTGATAGGATCCCACATATTTTGGTATTGACTGTTTAAACTTGCATATATGGTATGTTATCATTCTCACACATTTTGGTATTGACTGCTAATTTTGTATATTATCATTCTCACGCATTTTGGTAGTGACTGCTAATTTTGTATATATGGTATATTATCATTCCCACACATTTTGTTACTGACTTTCAATGTCGCACATATGGCATATTATCATTTCTCACACACTTTGTTATTGGCTATTAAGGTCAATTATTTCAAATGCTGTTAGCTGTCCATATTGTTGTAAAATGTATAAATACCATGACTTTCTTTATCGTTGTTGCACCTCAATACACAGTCACAGTCCAGCCTTTGTCTTTTGATATTTGCGTGCTTTACCAAGTCGGAAGGTACGACGAGCAGATAGACAGATTAGTTCAGGCGCAGACAGAATAAGGTGAAAACGTCTATCATTCAATTCCCCACAGTTATAACAGCTTCATACATTGTACGTAAATTCCACATCCCCATTCTTATTTTTGCTTCCAATCAAACTGCTACACAAACGTCAACGCACAAAAGTCACTTAGTTTCGACTTTCATTTAAATTATGGTCAATAAGCACATAAGATAAAATAAGATTAAATAGTTCAATAATATATGGTCAGTGTTGTGAGAAACGATATGGATACTGTAGAGAAATAAAGCAGCAAATAGGATAGGGTAGACGTAACCTTCAAAGATGACTAATAACCATAATTATGGTAGAACAATAACGACGGTATAAAAGTAGTTCTAGTGAACGATTATCAGGCGAAAAACTTTACGTGAATCTGGGGTAATAGAAATGATGAAGTAGTAATAGGTCTGAGATAAGCGTTTGTCAATGAAGCTAAGAGGAAAATAAGAGATGATGGGGGATAGGGATTTAAAGTGTCAATGTTTATGGAGGGTTTGTTTGCCTTACTATAGGCGAAAGAGGTCGGAACTACTTCTTTTCTATATAGAGATCAAGTCTTGTGGTATTGATTGCTACCACTTTAGCTACTGATAGAAAACGCAGTCGAAATCCTCTAGACAGATTACTAGGAACGTGATAGATAACCGAGAATGCCTGCTGTGGTTATATTGAATGGGCAGTATCTACCAAGTGGGTTAGGACCTCAGAATTTACACATTTGCTTCCCCCTGGAACTATAAAGGTATATGTTCATGTGCGCTCATGGATGAGGCCCTGTAAGTATGGCTTCTTTAAGTAGCTCCGCAGGAGCAGTTAGTGGTAAGTCGATGAATGCTTTTGTGCGATAACCAATGTGAGGTACAAATAGAAGCATAGTTGAGACAGTTGATGAACAAAATCAAACTGGAAGTTGGAATATTTGTTGGTAAGTAGTTAATGACATGGTATAACTTAATGGTTACTACGATTAATATTAAATGGTAGAATGGCTTGGAGAGACTGGTGGTGCTTGAACTTTAGTCGAGTATAGATATCGCTCTTACTTCAGTATCCCAATGTACTAAGCTATGCTTAAAAGAAGTTAACCTTCTTCTGGCTATAGTGTAAAAACATTCATTGTAGTCTCAGTCTGCTGAACTTGACATTTACTCCTTTCAGTATCTGATATCAACTTTGAATAAACAGAAATCACTAAGTGAACAATATGTTCTTTTTTTTGCTGATGAAAGAGTAGAAATAAATACTGTAATACGTTATTTAAAGTAATATTCAAATAAATTTAGGTCTTCACTTTAGTTAGCTTCTCAACTTTGTTCACTATATTCTCTTAATTTTGTGAATGACCTTGGACTAGTTATTTGTGCATGCCTGATCAATAGATTCTTTCTCTTCTCTTATTGGTTCCTTTCCAGCCGTTAAACAAACGAATACTGAGTTATCTACTTTTAATAGCCCTTAGCTTTGTAAGTGTGTTTATGTACTTAATTACTGATAGGTGAGAGAGAATTTTGAGGGTGCTACTAGCATACATGAAACTAAGGCTTCGTTTGTGACACAGGTTAAATTTATCCATGCACATCTCATAAACTGTTCGCCAGTTTATTATCAAGATTAACAGTGGTTGACTCTTTTATGGGCGGTAATTTAAATAAGTCACAGAATAAGCTGAGATATTTTTCTTTGTTTTCATTGTCTTCATAAAACTAGTGTTGATGCGGTTAATTTCACGTTATAGAAACATTTATATGCCATAATGCATCCGTAATTGCGGTACTTTTTGAACACATTTTATTGCTCACAATCGTATCAGTGTGTTTACACAATTTTCTAACTTGCATTATATTGTTCCCCTTTTTGCTCTTCTTTTTTAACTCAATGTTCTAAATATCCGTATGGAAAGAGAAATTATCTAATATAAAACTATAACAGTGTTCCAGTTCTACGCGTTGGGATTAATCATTTCAATCTCGCTGAGATTTTACAAATATAATTTTATAAATTAGTACATACCATATTGCAACTGTGCCTACTTTCTCGATTACCATTTATGGTATCACATATTATGATCTGAATACGTTGAGTTTTCATATCATAATCGAAGTGGTTTCCCGTCAGGAATTGTGTAATTCGCAGATGGTGAATGTGATTTAGTAGTACAGATTACCTGATATGTATCCACATATATATATATATATGTGTATGGTGATCTCTCTTTCTGTTGCTCTCTTAGTCTGTGACCATTTCACTTTGATGAACCTGTCTCCTTTAACAATGTATATTCCCC